TAAAAAATGGGTTGAAACAATGCTAGAAAATTTCAAGGAAGAATATAATAAGAGGCATATTTATTCAAAACAAAAGGCATATTAAAGATTAAATATTAGATTGAAATTAATTTGAAATTGGAAGAAATAACCACAAAAAGGATGAAATCAGACATTATTATAAATTGTTAGAACTTTCTGAATTTTAATTCTTTCTTTCCCAACTAGTTAATGAGTCATTTTTTTTTGAATGAGTCATTTAAAGATATTTTTTAATGTCAGTAACAATAACTATAGCACTTAGTTCTTTTCGGAAAGCTAAATATCATCGAATTAGTGGCTTATCTTTAATTTCTTGCACATTTATTTATTGTCTATACATCCTTCTATTTCATTTCAATTTTAATTATAATTTAATGAGAATTTTGTTTTGTCGAAGGATGTTTTAATAAGAAAACAACTCCGAATTACTATTATTTTGATTAATTAATAATTTATAATTTTAATCATTTTAATTTCTTTTTTTTTTTCTTATCACTTTAATTTTGTCATTTCTGTCACAGCATGCAAGCAATATCACAGAAAATAGGTCTTTTTGAACATATGAGCACCGTATCCTAAAAATTAACCGAACAGCAAGAAAATTGAAGAAATCTCGAAAAAATAGTTATAGCACAAAAAGTTGGGTGATGTCTCGAATGATAAGTTTATTTGGAACTGCTGTGATTTTGATTAATTTTTTTTTTATATTTTCCTAAATTTTCTATGAAAGTTGCTTATTTCTTTAATCTGTTATGCTGGATATTACTGTTATATCAGAAGTATTTTTTGATCTTAAGATACAATTAATTTTAAGCCAAGACAAACAATATATAATCAATTTGCGCACTTAACCGAACTTTCGACTGAATTTTCTAAGATTTTTGTACAAATAAAAGTTCATAAATGAAGTTTGATATGATATTAAAAGGTGAGAGAGAACTTACAAATCTTTGCAAATCACTTAGGATCAAAGGGACAATTTTGTACTTTCCGATCCATTTAAACTGTATAATAATAAAAATAATATCTAATGAGTTGAAAGGAAAGCTAATCCTTTATCAGTTAATGTTATCATTGTTTTTTGTTTCTTTCAACTGATTAATTCAGATCATTTTGACAATTTAATTGATATTCTTAGTGTTCCAGTAATTAAGCTCACATTAGCTGGTCTTCCTTATCATCGGAACGTTAATTCATTATTTGTTCTTAGATCTTAAATTGTGATTTAAAACAGGCGATATGGATAATCATAGGAGATTTTATGACATTTCTTATAGATAACACATATCCGACATATTTAGGCAACCACTGTTAGAGAATAAATTCCTTGGAATGGTTCATTCGTGCTACTGCTGCTGTTGACAAATCATTATAAACTATAATTTCACAATGTTATTTCAAGAAGATAACACACTGTTTAAAGTTGAAATTTAAAAAATTAGAATCAATACGAAGATTTAATTATAAATTGATTCCAATTAAGTCCTCAAAAATGCCACTTTAATGCAATGTAAGCAATATAAATGAAAAATATTTACTAATAAAACAAGTATCTAATGTTGCAAAAATTAAATTTCATTAATTCATTTGTAGTATCGTAAAATAACTTTCTGAACTTAATTTTAAGTTTTCAAATCAAAATCAATAATTTTGATAATTGTATTCGATATATTTCTATGACGAAAGCTTACTTATTTTATAGCCAATAATTAAGGCAACCAATAAAAGAAAGGAAAAGAAACTTTAATATAATTCAAAAATGTGAACACTCTTTCCATTTTGATTTATCATGGAATTTCTGCTTGCAACACTTTTCTTATTCCAATTATTTATAAAACTTTAAATTTTCGGTGCAGCACTTTTTTCCTAATTTCTTTATTAGCTTACATTCATCGATAGACACAAATTATATCCCCGAATATTTGATTCAAAATCAATTTTTAAATCCTAACTAATTATAGCCTTATCTGTTTTTTATTTATATTGTTCCTGTTGCACTTAATCTGAAATAATTATTCCGCTTTACCTTATCTCACATCTCTTCGTTGATTATGTTACTAATAGTAAAGTTTTTATGGTTAAAACTATTAAGATAGAAAACTTATTTTTACTTAAAATATTTAACCATTTCATTGGTCGCAATGAGAAATTCTCAGAAAAAATTTTTTTGAAATTGATTCTTGCTGCTGTTTCGTGTAAAAAAAAAAAAAAAAAAAAAAACGATTAGATCAATTTATGAAAGTAGCCATGTTCAATTAATATAAATTGAAATCAAATACCACATACTGAGCTCACTAAAGTAATTCATCATTTTGGAATAATAGATCGATCTAACTGAAATGTACCACTAAACTTATTGGTTCCAATTTTTCATACAGCAAAACTTTTTATCTACTCCAGTTGGAATTAGCCCTTCTACCATTTATTTTTAGGCCTGCTGGCTAGTTGTCGATAACTCTGAGTAATTAAAAGAACGAGATATTGCTTTTTTTTGCAGGGATTCCGAAGAAGTGTCCAATTCTTATTTCGATCTCTTTCATATTCTCTTCTGAATGTTACTTAGATTTACTTATCAGTTATATTATTATCATCTGAATGTTAGTACTTAAGTCGATCGTCATCTCCAGTTATTTACTTATAAGTTAACAACTGGCCAGAACATTCTATAAGGTGCTGAAGATCAAAGTGCAATATTGTTATTGTTAGATGCAAGTTTAATCCTTAATTCATAATAATTATCATTCTAAATCGTTTTGACTACTCTACTTTCTTCTACTCAGCACCTCTTTTCTTAATGTCAAGAATGAATAATTTCTTATTACTATACACTTCACGAAACTATCAAAACATTTTTTCTTACTCCTCTTTAAATAAAATAATCCCAAATAATTTAAAAAATAAAAAAATTTAAAAAAACACAAACTTAAATATCCATAAACCTTAAACATGTCTTGAATAATAATCTCAGATGAATGGACCTGAAATAACCATAAACGTATTACTGTTAACTTTAAATAATTTAAATCGTAAACAGCTTTAATATGTACTTAAATAAATAATCCTAAAGATCTTAACTTTGGATATGCAATCTTAAATCTGCTACCAATGAATTGATAACGATACCTGAGCACTAAGCAAGTAAACATAGATGCATGTGGAAGGACAAACGACCAATTAAAGACCATTTGTCATCAATGATTTTAAATTACTATTTTACCTAATGATTATAGAATAGTAACAGATTAAAGAAAAAATACTATTAAATTCTTACGCATATATTATTAAAAATAAAAACATATTGCCAAGAATTTAAAAGAAAAAAATTCTTAGCAAAAAAAAAAAAACTATTAAGAATGTGGACACATATTACTAGGAATAAAAAGACTGCTGCAAAAGTTGGAAAGTTCACTATAAAATTTTAATATGATTTAACTTGAGTCTGAAAAGAAAAAAATAATCGGCAATAATGTTTAAAGAGGTAGGTGTAGAACTAGAATCAATGAATAAGTTATGAGAATTGCATGACAAAGAGAGTGGCAATTCTACTTATTCGGTATTAACATTATTCGATCTCAATTATTGCTAAACAAAAGAATTGGCAGATGGCATGCATGTAATATTAGATGAAGCAAAGTGCAGTAAAGTAAAAAATCTCATCTTCACCACTCTCTCGCCTTCCCTTTAATCCAAATTAATCACTGAAACATTTATTTGTCAAGAAAAAACCAAAACGAACAATACACGAACAGTTTGATAAAGAATACATGAAATTCATGTGAAGGAAAACAAAAGGCCAAACACCAACAGATCATTTCACAACCGAAAATTTCCTCGTTATCATGGCCAACATTCAGAAACTTGAGATTTCTAAATTCAAAGAAAGTTTTTTTTCCTTTCAAAAAAGAAATTCTCTCAAATAGAACATCAAATATTATCACTGTAGAACTTCCTACAATTCATAGTGAAACTATTTCAATTGCTTCGTTTGAAATGCATAGAGAAACAAATGCAATTTAAATGAACTAAATCCCGTAATATATGATTGTAATCTAGAATGTCCAATTTATTTCGAACGACTGTTCGCTTCAAATATAATGAAACATTAGAATAAATCCTTGTATGATACAACAGTAGGTAACGATGTCTTAAAGCCAACATATTTGATAGGAAAAGAGTTCTATGTAACCTAAGTTCTAAACAATGGGTAAAATGTTAATATGCAAAACATGCATATCCCACAACGTATAATCCGGATCGTACTATTTTGCAGATGATTTATCCTGCACCTTTTAGTGTGAGTAAAATCATACAACACAGAGAAAAACACAAATGTGATCAGGAAATGATTAAACCAATGATATTTTCACCATCCACCATTATGTATTTGCACCTTTGCTTCTTTGTTCCATTAATTAAGGGAAAAAGAGGAACCAATCTGATTGATCTCAGTAGTAAAGTCAGATCTATTCCAGCCATATATATATATATATATATATATATATTACAAGAATAGAAGTAATGCAAATACTATCTCTTTTGAAAAGGGAAAATTTAATACAATTATGGCTCGTCAATGATAATGCCCTGACTACACAAACACAAGGCAAACGATTTATATTAATTATATTTCTGCAAAGTATCCCAATCCTATCATGCAAATGACGGAAAAGTTGAAGTAGAGATATGAGGTTTTCTTTTTTTTTTTTTGGCTGAACTCAATGTTCCCCATCCCGAAATTGGTAAAGAACATTTCTTTTCCATAAGTAACAATATTTCTAGACCCACGCGTTCGAAGGATTACCTTTGAATAAAATTTTATAGCATTTAAAGAACAGTTAAACAACAGTAGTCTGTAACACTGTTTCTTATCCTTATGGTTATGAAGATTTTTTAAAGGCTAGAAAATATCGATTAAAGATTCAACAAATAAAATTGGAATATAAGGATAACTGAACAAATATACGACTCCGAGGAAAAAATCAGTAAAATCGATTTGATTGATCGCTGAACGAAAGTGTAAACTGATTCTGTGATAACAGCTGAGTAGGTGGGCGTCTGAAATCAAATAATTGAAAATGCATATGAGGACCAACCAAATTTAAGCCCAGTTCATTAACAACTGAAGTAAATGCGTGCAAAATAGAAATAAAAATTAACTTGCTTCTAGTTCCTCCCTTTTTTCCACAAAAAAAAAAAATATTTTATTGGTGCCATAGTGACACAAGTATGGAAAATCACAACTGACCAACACCAGAATTAACTCCGTTGTCCTTTATGTTCTTCGTAGCCTCATTAATTTTAAACGCATTGCAGATCCTTCTCATCTTTTAGAATTTTTCATTTTTTTCTTTTGGCAATGTTCTGAAAAGAAAAGATTAACTTACCCGTAGGGTACAGGATTATTTCTTGTAGGATCGCTGAATGCTGGATTCATACCAATCAGATTCTGTCCTAGATTCTGTCCAATATATGGAGGCGGTGGTGCTGCAGGAGGCGGAATTCTAGAATCGAAATACGGAAGACGTTGTAGTTGAGTGTTCGGTGCATGTTGCATTCCAGCTACTGGAAACCTTTGCTGCGAAATAGGAGGTAATGATGGTGTATAGGCACCTGGTGGAGGTGGTGGTATCCTAAACGGTGGTATACCTGGAAATGTGATTTTACTCGCATTACATTACTCACATGATTATACGCATTACATTACTGCAGTAATTATTTTTGGGAAAAAAACGAAGTTGATAAAGACAAAGTTGATAAAATAATTGGAAATTATAGATTACTAGGGTACCAATCACATTCGCGTTCATGTTTGATGCATCCTTTATAATCTGTGTAGTAAACCCTAAATCCCACACAAGTTTTCGAAACAGACTCATGCAGCATCATTCTAATTACTCAATTTAATGGATATTGTTAAAGCAACCACAAAAACAGAAATCAGTTTACCTAATGGAAGTGGCTGTTGGTACAGTGGAGGTCTTGGTGTCCTCATCATAACTGGTAATCTAGGTCGCGGATTCGGTGCATGGTATGATGGATGGGGCAGTGGCACACCTGCTGGGACGCAACTACCTGCACTGCGGACCAACTGATCAAAAGCTAAATCTTGATCCTCCTCGACCCTATAAACACCCCCAAATATTCTTTCTCGTGCTTGCAGATATGCTGCTTCCCTTTCCTGAAAACATATTAAAACGTCATTAATAATCTTGTTGGTTTAACTTTAAAGAGATAGAAGCAAGTCAGGTTTTTCATCCATGAGATTAGTACTTTTATTTCTACTTCTTTCCCATCACAGTAACCCAAGCCTTTTTTATGATGACCATGTCCGGAATAATAAAGCAAGGTAAGAACAATGATTTATTTTTTAGAGATTTAGTCAGCAGTCTTTCTTAAGTCGCATTACTTCTTTATTCACTAAATCAAAATTTAAATAAAGAACCAAATTACGCATCGTATAAGGACCCATAATCATTACCCCGATTCCCTTTGTTCAGGTTCATGCCAATATTGTTTTGAAAGAGATAACCCTTTGCAGCAGTATTTTAATCAAACGTAAGTTATGTGGATTCTCATTTTTAAGCAGCAAGTATAAAACTGATATACCCACTGAGTGGACTTATAAAAAAGTTTTCACTGTTCTGTCTCATAGATATACACACTAGAACTTTTAAAGCGAGCAGGGATTACCAAACGATGTTCGACAATAACGTCATAGTATCCGTGACTTATTTCGACTATATCAGTCTTTAACAAATGTGAACAAAAATTTCCCCATGTCGGTCAGCATGCGTATGCTTCTAGCTCCCCCGAATTAGAAAAGAAAATTCAAAGAAACATAAAATCTTTACTTGAAGAGTCATCGTCTTTGTTTTTTCCTCAAGTTTTGACATATCGTGCTGCGAAGATGACGACTGCGTCTCACATCCTTGTGGACGTTTCAGAATTTGAAAAGCTGGTTTATCGAAACTATAACTAGATGAACGTCAGGAAGTACGAGATAATCTACTATGACTTGATTAGTCATCAAAGTAAAATAGAAACAACAAATGGTGGAAATTGCAGACAGGGAATACGAGGTAATCTACTAATTTGCATTAAAATTTTTTGGTTTTAAATCTTAAAAAGCTAACTTCGAGCCCTGTTCCTGTATTTGCTGTGCTGCTTCTCTTGCTCTCCACATCTCTTCTTCTTTTTGCTTTTTTGCCTCAATTTCTTTCTTACGTTCATCGAAAAATTTTTCTGTGGCCTTAAAAAAAACTCTTAGTTGAATTAAAATAAATCTAGAATGACTAGATTTTAAAAAACTGATTAATCTGCAATAAATGATAAAATTTTCATCCTACGCAGGCTCTCAGTATACTAAAAGTGATACTGCTAAAGTGTATTAGAGCTATTAAAACTAGGTTTAGCGAAAGCCTCCAGGGTGATCACCCTCCTAAATTTAAGTTTGATTCAGCAAACAGTCCCCAGTCAAAATACTTGTAGTGTTGACATTCCAGTTGCCCTGGCTTTCAATATCTCATGCTCTCTTTTCCTTATCGCTCTTAGAAATTGTTTATTTACACCTTCATGTTTATTGAACCATCTTCCCTTCTCCTGTAAATGATTTAAATTTGAATTAAGCGTGTTGTAAGATATAGACGGTTGTCTTATTGAATCTAGTTAGTAAAATTAAAAGTGGATGGATTACCTCTGTCTCTAGAATTTTCTCAGTGGAATTAAAGGAGATTTCAGAAATGAGTAATTTTTATTTATGATTACATTACGACTACATGTAAACAATACCTAACCATTACCGCTATTTTTGCCACAAGTTGTACTTGAAAAATAAATATAATTTTTATGAATTACAAAAAAAAGGAAATAGAAATAAACCTACATAAAAATTACCGTGTTAAAATAATAAAATTCAGATGGTTCCGGTTCCCGATCCAATCCCCAGTGAAACGGATAATAATTACCATATGGATCAACGATATAAAAATCATAAAAACTCCAACCCTCTTCCCACATTCTTTGGCGTAAGTACAAATTTTCTTCCTTAAGTCTATCCTTATAATCGTTCACCATAATATGGATGGAATCCAAATCGTTACCCCGATCGTTGCAAAAATTAATAAAATCCATTTGAGCAGTGATCAACTCATCTCTCTTTTCAAGCAATTTCAGCAGATGTTTCGATCTCCTAGTCATTGCTTCGCTGATTATACAGACTAATACAAATGGATGGATTACCCTATCTCATCAGAATTAGGCCGAAAAAGGCGCCTAGATTAGTCATTGATCTAATAAATAAGAGAATTTTGCTCATACTGACTCTTTATTTTATATTCACTGAACTCGACTACCAATCACTTAACATTATCTTATGTTCGTTGTTTAATGAGTCTTCATATTTTCAGGTTAGTGTTATTCGGCATATTAAATTTTCAATTATCATAATGTAGACTATACGTTATACATTAGTGTTTCATGCATATGAATCATTTTAAGGGCAACTGGTCTATGCATCTGATTTCTACGCACCGAAATACCAAATAATTTTAAAAAATCAGAAGTGCATTGTGACTGCTTAAACTGGTTTTATTGTTTACTACGTTGAAGGCACAAATATTTAAATAGATCCAATTAGTCCCAAGAACTCAGTGTGAAAAACACTGATAAAAACCAACTTATGATTTAAACAAATTAAATATTAGACGATGCACAAAGGCGTACTTACCTCGTCGCCAGCCTCTTCCCAGCTGTCGGCTACATTTTCGTTCTTGGCACCCCCCTTATGACTATCTGTCATCGCCCAAACAATCACACAAACACTGAATCGCGCCCAAGCTTGAAACTGGAAAAAAGATCATTTAATTTTGAACAATTGCACAGTTTTCACCGAAAAACGTCTCAATGTTACCAGTAATGAGCTTGATTAAAGTTGCTTCGAACTGGAAGATATCCCTTGCTTTATATTATGCTGTATCTCTTCGCTTCTATGGAACAAGAGAAGAATCCTCTGCATTACTCTACCTTTTGTATCGGAAGCAAGCGAATGTTGTCTATAGACAACTTAGGCAGAACTACTTCAACTGAATCGGTCTATAATATAAAAGGATCAAAAATCTAACATCCGGGATTCAATTAGTCACTGCAAATACAATTCCTAAGCATATGGAAAACCCTATCAAAGACTGAAATGCAAACGACTAATCGACTTCACTAGAATGTTTCGGCACAACTGTTCACTTAATTCTCAATAAAATTAGATTCATACTCAAATCATTTTAAAGAAAGAAATTAGAGAAAAACCCTACAGCTCAACTCATCCTACGCTTCACACCATTTTTACTTGCGAAGTCCAATTTGCAGGTGCAAGAAAATACAAACAGGTTCCTCCCATTTTAACCATTACAGGTGGGTAAACGACCCTACTGACCAGACATATCTTCCTTAACATCGTAGTTGAAATGGGCGAATAATGTGTTATATGTTGATGAAGAGGCCCTGGACTACTTTTTACAGCGAATTTGAGAGAAAACTTCAATTTAAGAAAAATATATCGATAAATTTCTTCAACGCGTGCACAAATGCTTCGCTGAGAATTGACAGAATTTCCGGAAACACTTCAATGAAAATTTATTCATTAAAATTACATTTATGTATTGTAAATGCATTATTTTACAGTGGAGACAATTTTTTGAGTGATAGCAGCACAACAGAAATATGAATACTGAAAACGGATTTTGCCATTGAAAAAAGAGGGAAAAGAAATTAAACTAAAATAAAACTTCTAAATCGGATTAAATCTGCTTAATTTCTTCCGTACTATATTTCTTATTAAAGAAAAAGAAGCTGTACATACTATAATATTAAAACGCTAGTACACATCGATATTTCCGGAAATGGACCCAAAGAAACTGAGAGTCTGACTGCGGTTCACTCTGAAGCAATTATTTATAGAATTCAAAATCATTTTGATCTTTCTTTATCACTGATTTGTACGCCTTGTCAAAATCTTTTGTTAGTACAACGTAACGATTTTCACGAACTGCATGCATACCAGCCTATAACAATTATTTTTAAAAAGTTTCAAAAAAAAATTTACGAAAATGGCAACTCGATATTACCCTATTCAAGTTTCATATAAATCTAATAACCTCCTGACATATGGCATTGATGTCTGCACCAGAAACTTTATCTGGTCTAGCAACAAAATCTTCCATATCAACCTCATCCGAAAGATTCATTTTTGCTGTAATTGTCGAGAAAATAAGACGTTTCTGCCGACGGTCCGGCATTGGAAACTCAATCTTACGATCTAAACGACCAGGACGTAGAAGTGCCGGATCCAAAGTGTCTTGACGATTTGTTGCCATGATTACCTGAATAATTTTGAAAGTATGAATCTACTTAACGTTAAATTTCGCTTGATATCAAGCTTTGACATCGCGTCATGGACAATGACAATGAATATGAATATGAAAAAAAGAGGTAAAAACCTCTTTTCGTGTGCTCATAACCATTCTATAATTTCAAAAGAAAAGAGGAGAAATTGGGTCAATATGTCCCTCATCATTAAGAAGAGGAAGCAAACATAGAGCAGACTTCCCTACAGTACTAAAAGTTCACCTTAACATTTGTGCTCTGATCAAAACCATCCATTTGATTCAACAATTCTAGCAAAATCCGTTGTACTTCACGATCAGCACCGGTTTGTGCATCGAATCGTTTCGTTGCAATTGCATCAATTTCATCGATGAATATTATCGATGGACTATTCTCTTTAGCTAGACGAAACACGTCACGTACCATTCGTGGTCCTAGAAATATAAAGTAGCTGAGTATCAGCATAAATTATATTGGTATTTATGCGAATAACTTTTGAAGCAAATGAATCCAAAACAAGGATTTCACCTTCTCCAAGATATTTTTGAACAAATTCACTTCCTACAACACGGATGAATGAAGCTGTTGTATGTGCTGCTACTGCTTTTGCAAGCATTGTTTTACCACATCCTGGTGGACCATACATAAGTACACCTCGTGGAGGATCAATACCGATCTGAAAAACAATTTTGTAAAAAATGAGATAATGCAGATTAAAAATGAGCTAATGTAATTACTTTATCACACTACCATTTACTAAAGAATTAGTTTGAAGGATAGTTTATCAAAACATTTTATTAGGTTTTGTGTTCATGATTACTCGCAACGGCAGACCACATTTACCAGCAAAAAACACATGAAAAATTAACATGTGATAATTTGTGGATTTAAATAAATGGAATAAGAGCTCTGACAAAATACACAGGTGTTTTGTAAATACATAGGTATCCACTTTCTGACATATAAAAAAGAAAGCATTTAAACATAACGCGCAGGAATAGTTAATCGTTAGCAAAGCATTGACCATCACTACAAATAAATTCTCATGAAACTTTCAATGAGCAAGGAATTATGTGGAAAAAACTCAGAATATGAAAATGATGAACCTGCTGATAAAGTTCGCCATGAGTAAGCGGAAGTTCTACCGCCTCCCGAACCTCCTGTTTCTGCATATCGAGACCTCCAATATCGGCGTATGAAACCTGCAAATAAGTAGAATAGATATCTTACGTACCAGTCCTAAGTTACAAGACAATAACTGCATCGTTTGATATAATTTATGATGTAGCCATCAAAATTTCTATTTATTTACTTAACAATGATCAGGCTACCGGTAAACAGAAGTGCTAATAAATTTTATTAATTTTGTGATAACTCCGTAACCACAAACGTCAGGTTTTTCATCGGCACGCAGCATTTGTATTGTCGAATCTGCTTCCGGTGGCAACACATCAACAAGAGCATTGCTATATTTATGCAGTGCAACGCTACAACCGGGTTTTAGCAGTTCACGATCCAGAATAGATAACACGCGAACAAAATAATTTGATCCTAAAGAGAAGTAAAAATCTCCGTTCAAAAATTCAGTGAAAAAGGCATCCTGAGCAAGCATTTCAATTAAAACTTATTACCAGTAGTTGATCCTACAATTGCATGGTCTTGATCAACGGCTTCTAAGAACTGGCCAATAACTAAAGGAACAGACTGTATTCGTTTAACCTGAAAATACTAATTTCACCTCACTGGAATTAGCAATATTTAATGCATAAATTCTTACTTTTTCTTAATTTCGTCATATCTTTTCCATCACTGTTCGGTTCATGAAAACATACTTAACTCTTGTTTAATTCATGAATTTTATACTGATTACCTCTTCTTGCGCATGCAATAATTCCTTCTCCAAATTTCGTGTTTCTAATTTCACATATTCCTCCATAACATCTAAGTGTTCGAGTTGTTTCTCAAGCTTCTTGTACCGCATGTAATCATCTGGCTCATCCAATCCTACTGTGACACCCTCCCTTACTGCTGTACCACATACGCTTGGCATTTCCTAGAATACAATAGCCAGCATAACATCAATTCATAACCATGACTATTTTCATGATCAATTTACAAATAGAAGCAAGATTTTGTTGAAGAACAAACAAACATATATTACTCATAAATATAACTGCACATACAACGAATATTAATTCTGTAGTAAAATATACACTACATCAAAAAACAATCAATTGGAATAAAATACACCTGTACATCAACGTCTACCATTGTTTCTTCTTGTCTTTAGAACGGCTCTTTTCTTCTCTGTAAAAAACACTTTCATAACACTACGAGCTATGGTTACTAAGTCAAATCGTGGGTACGCTTGCACCTCAGGTATCACCAGCCGTGAACCTCTCACCTCCCGAACCGAACAAACCATCCAACATGTTTCCCTGCAACAACCATTCTATCTCAACACCATATAATACACCGTACACAAGGAATCACTCCGAGACCTTAAATCACAGTGAAATCAATTGATGGAAGACTGGAAGCACAATTGCAGGAGAGAACGGGCGTTGTATTAGCCTAAGCTTACGACGAGATTCCAGCACATATTCGAGAATTCCAACTTGAGTGCATCTTTTGGTTGAATATCTCAACTTTGTTGAGTAAATTGCTATGACAATATTTACCTCAAACGCTGCAATTGGACATATCAATTGCTGCTGTAGTGTTTGAAGTAATTACTAAAATGAAGTTTACTAATAATTACTCATTAAGCGCATTTATTACTGAAATATAAACATGAGAATCAGAAGAGTGAACGGTTGCATGTCACTGCATTACAGTTATTGATAATGCGAATCAGTTGATAAGAGGATATTTGCAAGATTGATAATATGAAGGAAATAAATATAATTTTAAAAAAACTAACATGAATATATGAGTTAATGTAACGGAATTATGAGGTGATCAATTCTTAACAATCATCCAATGATAAATGATATCATTCATTACATCAGTATATCAGCATTCCATTGTCAACCCAGAAAGAAAGGGTTTTGGTGACAATTCAAAAAAAAGCGAACTGAAAATAATCCCTTTGTTCTTCTTTTCTTTTTAAATTCATGCTTTTTTAAATAGTTTTATAAGGCAACTAGTTATTACTATGCATATTACACTTGAAAACAGAAAACAAAAGAGAAAATATTCATATTAGATATGTATTGAGTTTGGTGTTAGAAATATTTTTTACTTTCAAGCTTGGACTTCTGTTTAGGGCCTACAAATGGATTTCCATATTTTTATAATCGGACTCAGACAACAGATGAAGCAATGAGTAGTGACAAAGAAATGTGTATCCTTGATTTTAGTAATTATTTCAATACATGACGAAATAGAATGCAGTAAGTAGAAGAAGAAACATACGACAACAATGAAATGAACTTAAAGATATGTACAAAACAAACATATCTATTATGATTTAAGGTTTGAAGATGAATGCCAGCAACAGTAAGTTCTTTTAATCATTCTTATTATCTTTATTTTCTTTGTCATTATTGTTGCGTTCACCACATTTCAATTTTAAAACAACTTTTTTCTTGAACGGACAATGCCTGAAAATACCAATTATGATGCTATATTGCATATTTTAAACGTCTATAACCAATGACTAATTAAGAGAAGAAAATAATGTTTGATGATAATGCTACATTAAAATGACGTTTTTTGAAGGGAAGCTATTTAAAGATTGTGATAAAATCAAGGATAATGATAACGGACAAATTAATAAGAGTATCTCTGAGAATATACAATAAATAAAATTAGAAGTGAAGATAAAATTGGAAGACAAAAATGTCGAATATTTACAAAAAGAATTATTTTTAAATAATAGTGAAATATATTTATTGCTGCGGCTCATCCACTTAGCCAATAGCGCCAAACTAATGAAGATACTCATCGATGATCTTGAGTAAACCGATGGCGATGACATTGTGTTATCTACAGGAGCATTCCTGTGGCTGAGGGAGATGTCGCATACCCATTAGGTGACCAAATTATGCTAGATGAAAAAAGGGGGGACTTACTCTAATATGATGTTGTAAAACCACCAAGCGAGGGGTACCGAGCGAATTACTCGTAGTATAGGCGACTCTCTGAAATAGCAGAAGCCTCCTTACGAACAATTATTTCACTTAACATCTTATAATATAATGAAACGTTAAATAATTTTTAAAGAGAAAAAGATTTATCTATGAACTTATCTATAAAAAGGAAAATGATTACTCACATAAAAGTGTGATTTAGACGTCCGCTTGCGTGGCATACTCTGCATGGCTTCATCCACGCTAATTTTGGGCATTCTTTTTTATCATGATCTTGAGGAAATTTATAAGTGGCAATGCAATATCGACATGATTCGCTCTGAAAACAACGAAGGGATAAGTTAGTCTAATGAGGTGGTTAGCTGGAAATTCTTGGAATGAAAAGGCATACATTGAAGAGCTACCTACATTTACTATTTAATAAATCTGAATCACGAGACCAAATCAAATTAAAAAAACGATTCAAATACAACAAAAAAGATGAAGTTTGGATTTTGAATTGTGACTAATCCATATTTAAATTTGAGACATCCAGGTTTGAATGTCTAGTATGCAATTGTGGCTTTCATCAAAAAAAAAGTGAAACAGAGTGTGCTTAATATTAATATTGCATGAGTTTATTCTGCTAACAGTTGGAAAGCCACCATAAATTTAATGAACCTTTTTCAGTCTATGTATTTACTGATTCCAGCAACTTTCGTTGACAATAAAATTCCACTTTCTTTTCTTTTTTTTTTTTAGTAGCTGAATCTTCAGCTTAGCTTAGCAGTTGAATACATGGTACGGGTCATTTACTCAGTGAGTTTGCTTCATTATTTCAGCACCTCAAACGTTACATCATTCTTTATTAAACGATGGTCCATTCCGTCTACGACATGAATTTATATTTGACAGAAATTAACAAGAATTTATGAATCACAGAACTTCATTACCGATGAGGATGGTTTAAGGTTTTGTAAATCTGATGGTAGATTGCCTGGCGGTAAGTGTGAAGTAGGTGTGACGGGTGGTGTGCCAGATAGTGATGAATTCAGATTAAACTGAGCCAAATGATTTGAGGTGGAATGTTCAGAAGCAACTGATAAGTAATTAGGAAATTGCGGAGGCGAGAATGGTGGAGAACTAAAATTATTTCCAAAATTATCATTCGGTGGTGTCATGGCTTGTAACCCCATTTGACCGACTGATGCTAGTGAGTCAGTGTCTGGCATTTTATTTTCCCCCTCCAATGGCATCCATTTTGGTTTAATCGATGGGACTGCAGATTCTACCAGGTCTATCAAATTTTGCAAAATGTGAGTTCCTGGATTGTACAGTTCCCTGAAAATCATTTTGAAATAATAAGACAAAAGCAGTGTCGAGTTATTCCCTATTTCAAGCCATTGAAGGTTGCCCTGGAATTTGAAAAAGGGAATAGAATCTATTTGACTTATACTACTATTACATCTATGACTCACGACAGACGTGATAACCCAACAATTTGTGACAAATAAGCTAACCTTTCTCTTCGCTGAATATGTTCTACTGAAAAGAAATCCGCAGGTAACGAAGGGCTCATGGAGCTATCATAATTAGTGCGCCTGAAACAAAAGAATTCTTGTCTAGCCTCATAAACCGTAGAAGATAATTGGAATTCTGAAAATGTCCAATAAGTAATTAATGCTAATTTTATGATAATTTTCACATCTGATGTATCATTAGCATTTAGATTATAGAAAGAGTCTGATGTTTCATATAATGAACTCCTCGACAAAGCATAATTTTGCTAATGTCATTAGACGGTAGAATGATCAAATAGTAATAAAAGTCTAAAAGAACTTTAATTAATGTCAAGAAAACTTCTTTAAAAAAATTAAAATACTTTACCAAAAAGATATCTCTTGCAAGTTTAAGAAAACAAGTGTGATTGATGAAAACATGAGTGCAGTAGAATAAGTCAAAGTAAACTAATTAATTGAATTAGTGGAGTAAGATGGATTAAACTAAAGTGAACTAAATGAATTAATAATTCAAAATTGAAATAATGATTGAATTAAAATATTAAAATAAAACAACTTAAAAAAATCTTATTTATCCAATAATTAAATTAAAAATTTTATTTCTTGACAAGCCAAACCATGACTGATAGAGCAGGCATTCTAGAGTACCATCTTCTACCAGAGGTAATGAAGAAAAATGCAACACACTCTCAATCTTCTCTCTGATAATTAATGGCGAAAGCGGTGAATCGTAGCCATTGTTAACCTGGATGAGAATTAAAATAGTAAATACTTTAAAAACATGTTTTCCTTTTTTCTATTTTTACTGATCAATATTCGATTCGGTTGAAATTTCTGATATATTTGTGAAAGTGATACTGCAATTGAGACTGTGATAATGACAATGGAGACTGTGACAATAGTATTATCAGATAAATTAAGCATAAATATCTAAAGCAACCATGTCACGTGTTGGCCAATGAAGATTAAATGAATAGATTAATTCTGAGAGATTTATTATTTCAATCAACCTGCAAGAAATACTGCATCGAATAATCTAACAGTTTTGATAAATCCTAATATTAAGAAAATCGAAGTGCAGTGAAATGAATTAGTTAGTTTAAAAATCTAAACAATGTAATTGCTAGTTTACTATAGCTAAGACTTCAAATAAAATATGGACCGGTTTGTATTCTTCATTTTCTGTGTTCCTTTCATCCTCAGGTGTTTCTTCTGGTCCACTTTGCCAACCATCAAAATTACTTTCTTGATTCTCATCATTGTCTCCCTCCAAATTATCATCTTCTTCACCTTCCTCAATACGCTTTTCTTCATTTGGAACATCCATATTGTGACCAGTAAACCAAGTCTGAAAGTATAAAACTTCATTGATGCGAGAAAAAATGAAAAGTAACAGAATGTATAAGATCGAAAGGATTATACCAAAATGCCAACATTTTGCTGATTTTCTACTTCTCTGAAACAGTATCAATCATGTTGATCGTTCAAGAAAAGCTTGTACTACTATTCATAACACTGTTTCTACCCTTCCGTCTGGCTAACGTAACTTTAGTTCTTGAATTGTATAGTAGTGCCCCGTTTTAGTATTCCTCAACGATGTATTTGGGTTGACCTTTATGATAATAATATTTTTCAAAGGTTTTGGAGAATTCAATTGCTTTTTTCAGCGAAAAGATTGGAATATGGGATTTAGAATGAAAAGAGCGACAAATCTGGAAAATAAATAAGTAACTTGACTGTAAATAACATCTACAGAAATCAGGAATATCCTAAGGACAACACATCGCGGTAACGACCTTGCGAACAACTATAATTCGCGTGATTCTCTTCTGAGAATAGCTCCTAAACTCTTATCCACCGGGAAATATCACCAGACATCCCGGCCATAGTCTCAACACCATTCCTTGTTGCAAATATTGAGGTATATCGGGGAATAACATGGCACCTCAACAATGTTGCAGTCTAATTTTCTCACGGTCTCTTATCCATCTTACCCTATCATATCTAAGTCTAACTGTATTGATTGTAATATTTAGGCAAATAAACCGCAGAAGGATGAATAATTATTTAGTATTGCTTGAAAAGGTTAGTTTCCTAATAGTTGTCATCGTTTCCTTTTCCCGTCGCCAGGTATATCCTAGAGAAAATGTTTGATTCTCCGGTCGGGCGTATCCTTTGAAGTGTATCGAATCACGGGCTGGTATGTCACCAATATCCAGAAAATATTGGATAATCTGCGCTAATAACTTAACCTAATTTCACGGCCGACTTCTAGAGGGCACTTATGTGGAGTCTAGGATGTCACCAGTAATATTATTAGACGTATTTCCTTCTAACTACACGTGTCGCTCATGGGAAAGGTCATATCTACTCTACTCTGTGTCGATGTCACGGAATGATTTACTCTATATGATTCCCGACTGTTCGGTGGGATCGATCTCCTCTGTGCTATCATTTCATTCTCTCTCTATTCTTCACCCTACTGTTTTTGCCGCCGTCAGTGACCCCGACCCTAAAAGTCGTACTTTACCGGTTCTTTTGCAAAGTTAGCTCCTCTTGCTAAAACCTAGCTCTTAAGTGCAACAACTTTCGATTCCATCATTCAACACTTCAAAATACTCTATCGATCCCTCTAATGTTCATATCCCCATTTCTTCATCTTAGGAAATCTCATATCTTCGGACTCCAAGCAAGAATTCATTGAAATTATCAATAATATAAACTTCATGATATTTTTCAAGGCATCATTTCATATTTATATTATTTTAAGTGACGGTCGATGTCCCCTATTTACTACTGTTAGCATACAGTGGATGAAGTTATCACGCACTAAGTAAGTACCAGTAGACAACGTATCAGAAAATTAAAGAAAAGTCTACCCTTTGCATTACTAAATATTATGATTAAAAATAAAAAAAAACAACAATTATATTAAATAGTGCGATCCGTCAAAAATGAATACATTAAATAAAAAGTTTCGAAATTTTGAAAATTTGCATATTCTATATTTTCTAATTTTTATCAAAAAAAGACAATTGGTACCAAACGAAATTAGAAAAATAGAATTAATAAGAAAAAGAGTCATTTAGTTAAAATAGTTTTATATGATCATGATCACTGCGGAATGGTTTGGGAGTCAAAGCAATTTATAAAGTAGAAGCTTATGAATTACTCTTTTGAAAGATGTTTCCTGACCTTCTGATTTGTTTTGATCACTCTGATCCATTCAATTGTTAAATATTCATGATATTTTCATTTTAGTAGAAAAGTAATATTAAAGTTAATAAAAAGATTCCAAAGTTAGTTGTGAAATTAAATGTTGTATAAGAATTAGGAATTATCTGCAGTACAATTCTGAAGTCACAGTGCAGGATAATTTCCCACGGAAATTACTGAAATGTTTGGAAGGCAATTCGATTTAATCCGGTTATCATCGGCTTATCTTTTACATAATATCCCTGTAAATATGCAACCTATTGTAATTGCGGTACACTTTTTTTTATTTGCTCGAAATTACTGCATAAGAAATTCATCTCGTTGCTATCTTTTGAAAAATTTTGACAACTGACAATGTACATTCGCTTCAAAAGGTGGCCGACATTGTCATCTGAAATTATATCGAATGAAACAATCAGTATTTGTGCTATTGATTGATTCGTCGTAGTAATTTTTACATTTGCCAAGTTGTAAATAATTGATTCGATTGCTGACCCATGCAGCAATAGCTAGATGGAACATTTTTTAGCGAACTATTAAATCATGTTGAGTCTTCGTGAACTGTAAACTAGAAAAGACCCAGATAAAATGGTAACCTTTTAAATTAGAAAAGAATGCTTCTCGACTGACCCGATAATATGCTAATGTTGATAAAACTACGATCATAAAAATTAGTGCTTTTTATCTTTCTGAAAGCATTTTATTATAATTCTAAATTTTAAATCATTTTTTTGTAAAATGTGATGGAGGAATCTTTTTTTTCAAAGGAATTTCAATATCTAATTTGTTGGATAAAGGATTTTGCAGTTGACACGAATGACAGCTGCTATAGCCATGATAATGATTATGTCAATAGTTCTATGCTCGGGGAAGAAGAAAAGTTCGAAAAAACAGAAAGATTTCAATTTTGCACAAAAAACACTTATATCTAGTGAAACAAAGGAAGAAGTTTGTTTTTCATATTTATTGCTTTTTGTATCCTTTTTTCTAGCTTCTAAAAGTAATTTGTCACCTAAGAAAGTATTTGATGTGATAATTTTGAATGTTTAACATTTGCATCCCTCATTTTTGATTTTGTATTTTTTGCAGATAATGGACACACACCTTTTTTTAGCAAAATAATCCAAATTTGTCATTCCTCTCTCACATTTTGTTTCGCATTTGTCCCTAAAATGAGATGACATTAATTAACTTAAAGATTTTATTGTATGACTTTTATTGCATTGTTATGACTCTCTTTATTTCTGCTAATTAATGCGTGGCACATAACCATATGCATTTAATTGCTGTCACATCAATTCTTGTTTAATTATTAATTGGTCATTTCCTTTAGGTTAAAAAAGATACGCCCAAAAATGAACTAAAAGGGAAAGAGAATTTATTAGCTTCAAATGAGGTATGCTATTTCCTGTGCTATTTCTTAGAACACTTCAACTTCTCATATTTAAAACATTCTCTCTGTTCCGTGACCATAAGATTTGTCTCTCTATCAGTGTCTCTTTTGTGCTTTTACAATCAGAAGTGTTCACTATACCTCCTTTCATGTTCTTTACTAGGTAATTCATATGTACTCAGATGTTGTTTTGCTTATTTTCTTCAACCTATTTTCATCTAATTCTTTCGTACAAAAGAAAAAATGATAATAACAAAATTGAAAAGACAAGAAAAAGTTTCAAATCGAATTTTCATATATTTAAACGTTTCTGATTTCTTCCAAGAGAAATCTAACTTCTCTCATCGTTATTAGAAGGGATTAACAACAACCATAATTTGGAGAACATTCATGGAATTTCATTTCAGTCATATCTTGAAGTTGCTCTGTTTTACTTTTGACATAGTTTGACTTCACCTAATTAATTTCTTAATTAATCATTGTGATCATTTGCACTATATTAATTTATAGAATTTAAAGAAAATGCATGACGATATGAAAAGAAAGAAAGCACATAATAATGCACCCTTAATTCAGGTTGGATGTTTGGATTAAATAGTATTCTATTTTTTTTAGTTTAATTGCAATTATTTGAGTGGTTTTTGAAGCTGTAACTATACTTCCCGGCATTTTCGAGCTAATTTTCTTGTATTTAAGGGTTAAATAAAACAATACTTCTTACGTTTTTCAAACTTTACAAAAGTTTTAATTACCTAGTTACATGGCATTGGCTCTCATGTTGATGGTTCCGCACAACTTGCCGATCCAGATGATAAAGAAGCATTTTATCCTCCTGTTATGGAACCCACACCATCAATAAAAAAAAAACGGGAAGAGGAGCTTGAAAAAGATAAAGAGGAGAAAATCAGAGAAGGATTCTACCAGGTAGGTTGTCATCTTAAAACATATTTATACAATGTTATGATATCTCGAGTTAGCAAGAATACTTAACAGCTGATTACTTCAATCACATTGTCACTGTGTGACAATTTAGAATGAGACAGTCACCAATTGTTCGAGCAGAAAATCCACTGACGAAGCATTTCTGAAATTCAGAAAAAACGATATTAGCATTATTAGAGCAGTTAGCAGTTTCTGGAAAGGCTCATTTTGAGGGAAAGTTCGTGAATTGAACTAGAATGGTTGAATTTTAAATTAAATTGCAAACTCAGTTGAATTCTTTTCCAGTAAAAAAATTTATTTCAAATCGAATACTATCAACACTGATTTTTGCAGTCACGATCCGATGAAGATGATACACTTGAACCAATTAAGAGCTTGAAAGATGAAGAGACTGATCCAGAGGATAAATCACATGCGTCGAAAAAAATAAGAAGAGTGAAAAGCTCATCACATCGAGCTGTGAAAGCAAGAAATTGAAAACTTAGATTGATAATGAAAAGCAAAATGAGAAGCAAAAGAATCTGAAAAATTAGAAATAATATAGTAAATTATAAACTAAAAAGGAATGCAGATATTAGTTAATCGTATGTTTATGTGTGCAGTTAATTGGAATAAAGTATATAATGAATGTGATAAAGTATAAGAGTTTTCTTTTACAACACTGATCAATGAGTAAATTTCCGAGTGCAAATGTTCCGCATTTTCCAAAACTCCTGGAAGAGAATCATCTTGTTAGAATTGTAAAGTCACTGCTGTCATTTAAATTACTACTTTTAGTAAGAAACATAATCATAAAGATTTTCTTAATCACTATAACATTTTGTATCTGATAAGAATGTGATAAAAGTGCGAAATTGAAATCACTCGAAAGCCTTCGATTTTTCCTGTCCCAGAATACTTATCTTATTTGCCCATGATGACAATAACATTCGTCTCCTTTGTTAAGCAAATATGAAAGAAAAATGTCTCATAGTTCTTACTTTTGTTCTTACTTCAAAAACTGATCGTTAATACTTGTTGCACCATACTGCTGCAAAAGCATTCATTTATTAATAGCTTCCTTCATATTTGGAGAAGAATAAAATAAAAACAGTGATGCTTAGATCCGTTGGTAATATGCTAGTATTTCTTGATCTGAACTCAATGACACTGTCGTATACCATTACGAACATTGTTGGCATCAGTAAATGTCATCATTACAGAAGACTTCAAATAAGTGAGAACAGTTACAGAATTTAGTATTGATGTCATTCAGGATGCGAAGGATGAATGAGGATACGCAATAGTTGCACCATCGACGATAGTGCAGAACGACACTACTTCGGAAACACCAATTAACGACGAGTCCAGATGACCTGAACTTGGACAGAGAATAATGGTACAGCTATACTAGTAGTACGATAGAGGTAAACGATCACCTTGTTAAATTACTTTTATTCAACACTTTTGAGATTTGTTATAAATAGAAGTCACGTAAATCCCAGCACACATATAATCTACCTCAATCTTTAAAACTATGTAGCCTAAATGAAATGAACCTAGACTTGGAAACCCTATACTTTTTAAAACACCGAGACCTAAAAGTAATAACAGTACCAGACAACAATAAATTCCAGTCTTTCAAGTCCCACGATTTGCTTCTTTCATAAGTGTCCAGCCTGGTCCTACGATTTGCTTCTTCGTAAGTGTCCAGTCCAGCCTGGTCCTACATGCCCCTCACATTTATCGTTCTGTCCAACTTCCATTTCTAATTAACAGAAAAACTTTGCAATGGCCAAATCAATTTTTGCTTTTTTAAAAACAATTCCTATTCGAGCGGAGAGATCGCTTTCATTTTCAATCTCATTTATATTCCACTTATTAATTAACAACATTAACTATACGCCGTCCCAAAATATTTTCAGGTACCTAATAACTAAATGCCGTATTTTTTATTGTATAAAATCCAAATAGGTAATGGCGAGGATTAGAAAATCTTCAGGACCAAAATTAAATTCAAATTAAAAATTCGAATCTAGGTCCCAAAGCATATTAAAAAATGAATATGAAAAAAACCCTCATTCAAAACCACAATTGCATATATGTTGCACGAGGCTTTTGGACTTTCGTGATAATAAAATTTGCAAGTTATATCGTCTTTACATTACTTTCATTAGGAGAAACAGAACTTACTGAACGAAGGTGGCATTATACTAACAAAACAATGGTAATACAAGTACGTATAATCCTACAAAAATACGAAAATCATGCCTGAATGCCCACAAATGGGAGGAAAAAAAATGAAACTAACAACTGCTAATATAAAAGGAAAAAGAAAAAGGTGGCGCCAAAAAAGATACTTATGTCAGATCACAATTGCTTAATGTTCACTTCACATTTTAATTTTTTCCAGAGAAATTAATAATAAGATAGCGTTCCCTCTCCTACAAAACCCTTATGGGTTAACTAGGTGGAAAAAAAAAGTCTTACTATCAGTAGAATTAGAACAGGACAACAAATAAATGAAATATGTACGACTTAAATCAGAAAATTCATTTAACCGCTCAAAGAAAGAAGCATTACAAAACGAAAAAATATTTGTGATGATAAAAAATGAAGTTTGGAAAAGAAAAATACAACGACAAACCCAAATAATCTGCTTAACGTCGACGACAAAAATAAACAAAAAAAGTAAATTATTCAAAAAGAAAAAAGGAAAGAAATAAATAGAAGCATAGGATATTATGATAAATGTGTTTAACAGGTGAAACATGTACTATTCGTACCGAAGGAAAAAAATCAATGGAAAGTCAATGAGATGCACTGTTTGAATAACAATTAATAAATGAAATATGATTTAAATTAGGTATAAAAGAGTGATGCAACGAAAGTGTTTGAGAAAAATGTTAATTGTTCAAAATTATTTGAAACGATTCTTTCGTGGAAATTCAAATAAGAGAACTGCTCTCCTAACATTGTCGCTTTATTCCGTTTACTGATTTCCACCTTGTGGCTGCTGTTGTTGCCAATAACTGAAACACAGAAAAATAATGAAGGATAATAAGAAACACTTTTAAAAGACTCAACCAAGAAACTGAAACAGAAATTATGCAATCAAAGAAATATATAGCCCAAAACAAGACAAATAAGATTCTATTATTAAAAGACTTCACTTCTTAAGACATGATTTCTCCATAGTTTTTGAAATACTAGAGACTATAGGATAGTCAGCCTCCTTATTTAAATCCAAAAAAAGAAGTGGAAGATGCTCAAATACATTTGTGTATCGCTTTTCATAAAAATATATTTAATTCTTTTCTTATAATCATGTTGAAAATTCAACAACTTACAATAATAAATGCAAGTCGAAAATCAAACCTCTGCCACTGCTGCTGGACAAGCTGGGGATTGCTGTAATACTGCTGATAATAATTCCAGTACTGTTGTTGTGCTGCAGCACTACCACCCGGACCTCCTGATGCACCATTCCCATAGCCATAGGCCCCATAACCACCATAATTTGCATACGCTTGGGCTTGATTATATGCACTAGCTTGTTGACTGTGACCCTGAGGAAAAATTTTTAGAACGACTGAAAGAAAGCATAACTTGACTGAAAGCGTAACTTAGATATTTTAGAAAAAAGTACGGTGTTTTCCTTTTTGAAGAAAAAAAGATTTCAATTAAAGAAACCCTAAACCACATATACCTTAATTGTAACTCCTCAACTTCTTTCAACTACCTTTGGTGGTGCAAAACACCAATACTAGTACTCTGAAGTATCACTACAATATAAACTACATTTATTAGCATTTGCCAACAAAAAGCGACTTATAAAGACAGAGAAAGTTCCACAATTTACGAAATTTGACTTACCTCAGGTGTTCTTCCCCAAGAACATTTAATATTTTGACCGCACAGTTCTTGTCCATTCATTTTGCAAATAGCGTTACAAGCAGAATCTTTTTTGTCGAAACGCACAAATGCATATCCCTGTGATTTGAAGATTCGAACTTCTAGGATGCGACCAAATTTGTCAAATGCTGCTCTCAAGTCTTCATCTAAAAAACTTATAAAAAGAATAAAAAACATTGCTTAAACTTCTTTATAAAAGAATACGCCATAATAACGCACATCTTGAAAATTTCTATATCTTCCTAAACTTCCTAAAGAATTAAGTAATGAAGTTGTTCCACACAACAATTATTGTTATCCTTTACCTAATTTCAAATTGTTATTACAACTGTAGGAGCACAAATACACTTCAAACGACTCAGAGCTCGAGAAATGATTGCGCTACAAATATGTTATAGCACTTTTCTGACACTAAACCATGCGATAATGCTTCATAAATGCACCAAGACGGTTCATTACAGTAGCAACACAGGTAAGCTCTTAAGAAGTGCTTTTACATCCGGCAAACTTATTTCCAAATACTTCAGTAATAACTTGAATGACCTACCATTAGCGCTCGAGTTAACATTTCCGACATAGACAGATGTGTTGTCGGGACCTGTCTGATTGTAGACATCATCGTAATTCAACTCAGAACGTCCATACTGTCCATCACCGGCACCAGTACCAGTTGGTTTACGTGTTGCCCAGTTTGTGCGAATTGTTCGCCGTCCTAACCATTGACCATTCATTTGTTCTATTGCTCGCTCCGCCTCCTAAATTTGGGATTTACGCATTATTAAAGATATATTTTTGTTTCGCTACCTCATCAAATTTGACAATCGGTAAAGAAACGTATAGCAATGTTCAGAAACTAAAAAATACAGCCATAAGAAAAAATTAAAAAGATTGAAGATTAAAAAATTTACCTCTCTCTTTGGATAGGAAACAAATCCATAGCCTTTTGACTTCAAAGTTGTTGCATCCCTAATTACTTTAGCATCCCTACAATAAGCAAAAAAGGATTTTAAAAATTGCGGAATTTAATTACAATGATTATTATTAAATACCAATAGCCTATAATTTGACTTTCCCTTGTTAAGGAAGTGTCTGAAGCTTATTCACTCATAAATTGAGCTGAGAAGAAAAAACTCACGAAACTTCTCCGAATGGAGCGAATGCATCTTTCAGCGCTTTATTATCAACTTCTGGTGATAAATCGCCAACAAATACATGGAAGTGTTTGCTAGTATCCACTTTGGCTTGTGATCCTGGCTCTGTAGCCCAGTTTACTTTCATTTCCTAAAGTTTTTCCTCTTAAGTTATACACAGTCTAAATATTGATATATTTTACTACGATCTGAAATGAATTACATATTTCTAATTAGTGATGATCAACTCTGTGTCCTAGCTATTATATTCTGGGCAATGAAGGCTCTTTTCCTGAAACATACAACAGCAATTTCAAATTATTGCATTTTTGACATCTTTTTTTCATTTTCTAAAAAAAAATAATAAACAATTACAGAAGTTTCAACACATCAAAATATAAAGTAGAACTGCAATAATAAGAAAATTTTCTATGCTCAGTTATGTTTTGTATTAAAAATAAACCTTTTCCAAAAGTACTCTTTTGTTCATTGCCTGCAATGCTTGCGCGGCAGTGTAATGATCGGCAAATTCCACGAAAGCATACGGATCATTAGTACCCTGTAAAACAAATATAAAAAAAGTAATTTAGGTTATTTGGCACTTCAAGTTACTTTGACGCTGTTACATTTCCGTCTTTTAATTTGAAGCATAAAAAAAGTTCAAGATAACAGAATTTTAGGAGTGACTCAAAATATACGAAATCGAAGCGTCCAAAAATGAAACAGCGCCAAATGTTGTTGCACATCTGACACTCACCTGTTTTGTTTTAATTGACAACAGACCCTTCCTTACTCGCACCTATTATTACTACTACTACTAAGTACTATAATCTCTTCGTATTTTGAGGTAATTGGGATTGGGATGCTGCGCGATACCATCAGGTACTTACCTTTATATGAGATGATGCAGTCTCAAGGCTATTTGGGTTCAATGGCTTTTTTCTTTCTAATAAGTAAGATTTTTTTGTTTTAAAAATAGAATTGAAGAAAATTCGACAATAATAAAAGAAGGAAAATGAATGAATGAATTGAAAAAGAATGAAAAAACTTCAAAGATATAATGAAAATGATGAAATAATTAAATTTGAAAAAATTGGTACTTAGCCAAAGAGCGCGAAATGCCCCGGCATGTTTGTGAATTAGAGTCTGTGTATATGAGACAACTTGAGTACACTCTCCCTGTTCTCCAAATATTCACATATTCATATCATATCCACATCCTGTTTG